TTACTCCGAGAGGGAGAACCTTAAACAGAATTAGTCTTCACCATAGCTGAATTTCAGCATGCAGGTCGGTAACCTTTTCATAACTGTCGACTTACTTTGAGATATTTTTTACCGTTGCTCTGTGTTCGTATCACCGTATATCTTACTCAATTAGTTGTTGGAGTTTGTCCAAATTTTGCGCATATTTGTTAAACTTAAAGGTAATGCTGTTGATGGAACAATGAAAATAAATTGACATCTAATTGGACATCATAACGTTTAATGGGAACGTTTCTCAAGACTGCGAAAAACGAATAAAGTTGTCCCGAATACATCTGCGGTGATTTTGATTGTGGTCACAACTGAGGTGATTGAAACATAACTATAGATAGTTCTATTTTTGCCCTATGTATTTATTTCATAGGGCATTCAGCCAACCAGTTTTCAATGGCAAGGTAACATAGAAAGAAACACATGACGAGAGTCACAAGCTGAGCGAGAAAAACTGCTATGAAAGTAAGGAGTTTAGTATGGTCAAGTTCCCTCCAGTTGCTGTCTTTCAAAAACAACATCGAGCCAAAATCTTTGACTGTAATTACAGAGTAATGGATTAACTGTGAACACTCAGGATTAAGCTGCAAGGCTCCATGTGGACTGAGCTCAGTGTTTGTTTGCGTTCTGATTGGGTCGACCATTGGGAGCTGTACCTGTTTGATCTCTGAACCATTCTCAATTTGGATCGCTACGCCACTTTCACTCACTGGTTCAGTAAATATCGGAAACAACATCCTGTCCCTAAACCTCGAGCTGTTCGGTTCTGCGCAAGGCCGGAGACAGTTTTTGAGTCTTTGCCTTATTCTTAATAGCATTAGGAAAAAAAAACATTTAAAGTAGATCTATCAATAACAGTGACTTAAAATGGGTTGATAATTATAAAAAGAAATGAAGTACAGTGTTACAACAGCAAATGTGTTTTGACAAGGTCCACGCGGTTGTCTTCTACAAGAGGATAACAAATCTGAGATAAGATTCCAGGATTCCTTGATGATGTTTAACGCTTAGTTTTCAAAAAAAGCTTTCCTTTGTAAATCGTGTCTTTCCATTTTGTTGGTCCGCAATGAGATTGTAAAGTGGATAACATGATCACAGTGTTCCTTTAGATTTCATTTGATAATGAAGATATCTTTGAGACTTGTTTTGTCTCAAACCAGAGGATTTACTGTGTCTCTCCTTTTTACAACTAAAAAATGGTTATTCGGGTTGAGAGAAGATATTTGTAAAACAAAAACTTTTTCAGAAGCCTTAAACTGAAACTGTCAACCGGATCAGAAGCATGAAGACACCCCGTATTGATAACTTGATAGCTTATGTTTCTTCATTTCCCGTGATAGGGCGGTCCTCTGCACGTGATGTGGGAATGATACCATTTACTTAACGTCAGTTTGTCAAATTGTAAGTCAACTATAAAAGTACCTTGCTCTCACAAAAAGAATGAAAACAATCAGTTGGCTTGAATGTCTATGAAAGCAGTTAATAAAGACGATACGGTTTAAGTGTCCAAATTAAGTTATGTCTCTGGGTAAATAGTAATTCTCTGAATGATTCTTTCTATAGGAGATGTTTAATTTTACAAAGATTTCTTGCAGTAGTTAATGTTTTTATTTCGCAGGAAAGACTAAGTTAATTGCAATACCAACTTTGTTGTTCTTGTTTAAACTGGTTTTACGCCAGTCAAGCCTGTTTAGGCGATGTATACGAACTAATGAAATTGTTTCCTAAAAGTTTTGGCATCCCGACTTTCCTAGTTTCTGTTGTCGAAAGTCTTCCCTAGCTCTGTGATCTGCCTCTATTTGGTGACCAGAACTTACTTCACTTTTTCAGAGAAAAGTCCCAGCAAACATTTTTTTAAGTTTAAGATAAAAAAGGAAATTTGAAACTCAGTTTTATATGTTAATTTGAAAATGACGGAAAATCACTGTGGCCTTTGGACAATTTTAAAGAGTTACCATGGCAACAACTGACATGGATGATATCAGTCAAATTGCCCAAGGTTGACGTTCTGCGCTGTTTACATATAGGTTACTTTGATGCGCGAATTTCAAGCTTTGCAAAGTGCCTGCGTTACGCATTACGTCCAAGTTAAACACAGGTTAGATCATCTTTGCCAAGTACTTCAACTACCTCTCCAGCGCTCGCGCCAGAACCACATCAAACCTAGACTCAGACGAATTTGTCACGGGATAGCCTTGAAAACCCGTGCGTGCGTCTTTTTTTGTGTTGCTGGTTAAGGTTGGTGTTCTTTCAAGGTATTTCTGGAAGTTCCATTCGGAGAATATTATTAGTTTGCTTGTAGCACAGGCGTGTTGCGATTTGTGCGAAGTGAGGCATCCGCATTTGAAATGATTTTTACCAGACCTCATATTCACTTGTTTATGCTTAGCAATATTTCTGTGCAGCGATCTTTCCAGTCATGGCTGGAACAAGGTTAGATGACATCTGGAATGCTTCGTTTTAGAGTTGGTGTTATAGAAGGCGTACATGTCTTATCAAAATAGGTCCCTTAAGCTTCAGCCTCCACGCACTTTTGTAGAAACTTCTTTCATCACGGAAATTTTCTTCCTTAAGAACATCGATAATTTTTGTATCCAAATTATGTATTATCAATATTTTAAAAATTAAAGTATTTATCTCATATTTTCTGGATCGTTCTGTTCATGTTCGTAGAGAACAATATCGGACAATTTTCATTGCATGTTTCCGCCGGCCGGCTCGAAGTTTCCTGAGTGTAAACAACTTGGAAGGCATTCTAAGTATTTTGATCCGAGTATTCCTTTAGTTTGTAGGGACTCGTCACTTGTGTAAGAAACAAAAATAAACCACATACTTGAGCCCAATTCAGCTCATGCTGAAACAGAGAACTGTTTGCCGGAAAAGTGCGGTGCTGTCACTATTCTCAATGTTGTTGTGGTAGATGTCAACGTTTTATCTGTTCAATTTCTGTAACCGTACTGGAACGTTTCCAGTGTTGTTACGTAAGGCCCCGGGGCAAACTACCGCAGACTTGGTGAGTTATTGAATTCATTTTGTAACAAAAACTATCTTCAAATAATTTTCCCACGGAGTGGAACCATTAGATGGTCAATTTTCTTGTGCCCAGCTGTTAGCTTGGGTTTGAACGGAATATATTAACTGTGATGTGCGCCCTTAGCTGGGGGACTGTGCCCTTTTATGATCTATGGACCATATCTTTCCTTTTTCATTCACAAACTCACTGAGCATAATAGGATAAGGAGCGAAATGTACCGTGGCAACATTATAAAGATTTTAGCTGTCTGTATTGTACTGAGAGGCTCTAAAGGTCTGTTGTAGCAGTATTATCCATCAGTTTGGCTTTCATCTTTCGTGTGAGTATATGGTGAGGCAGGATCTTATGTTTATGTAATGTTTTAAGAGTTTTTTATTGATGATACATTCCAGGCAAATTGCCAACGGGTGTGAATCGTCATTTGTTAACAGACAAAACATCAGTTTTCACCACTTCCCCCTCGAACTTTAAAAATCGTGAAATAGAGCAGGAACAACTTCTTTTCATGTAGGTTGGAATACCTTAACACGTGTTTCGCCGGCTTTCGTTTCCTTTTATCACCCAAAGGGTTGTAAAAATCATATCATCCATACATATGTGTTTTTTTAATGTCTATTTTGGTCGGAAAAAATCGTGACCTTAGGTCGTGCAAGCTTAGAACCGGAAATCTTCACTCGCTGACACGACGGTTAATTGCAAGTGAAGACAGAGGGTTTTGAATACTAAAAGTTTTCCTTAACCATGAAATCCAGACTTTCATATCCGCCCTCTCCTCCCCCTCCCTGTCTGCCTGTCTCTCCCCCCTGTCTATAATATCCCCCCTGTCTCTCCCCCCTGTCTATAATATCTCCCCTGTCTCTCCCCCCTGTCTA